GACGGGGAGTTTCCGGGCCAGTGGAGTGTTTCTGTTTTGGGACGCGTCTCTTTCGGAGAATGGGGGCCTTTCCCAGGCTCGGCATGAGGGTGTTTCTCCTGTTACAGCCGCCACCACGTCCCGCTGTTAGTGTTCCCGCCAGGGGACATATTATGCAAAACCAAGTTTTTAATCATTTGATTATGTGCATTTGGGACTGTGGAGGGCCTATCAGCAGGCAAAGTGTGAAAAAAATGACTCGGTCATGTTTTTGTGGGCCGCCTCAGTCTGAATCCAGGAGATAAATCAGGAGGTTTCAGGAGTGGGTAGTTTCTGACGTCATTAGCTCTAGCTCATTATAATATTCCAGCCTTTCACCTGCATGTTGCCCCCCCCCCTCAGCTTACTCCCCTATCTGTGGAGACGTCGTGGTAGCGTGAGCGTTAGCATGGTAGCGTTAGCATGGTAGCGTTAGCGTGGTAGCGTTAGCGTGGTAGCGTTAGCGTGGTAGCGTTAGCGTGGTAGCGTTAGCATGGTAGCGTTAGCGTGCCGACGTGGGCACACCTCCCTGAAAAAGTGGGTGGATTACCTGTGTCTCATTTGCATTTAAAGAGACAGGCACTCCAAAGCGAGCGCTCTGAACGGGGCTGTTTTGGCAGGGGGACTGAACTGCTATTGGGCTTCATCCTTTGGAGTCCAACCAACCTAACATGCAGGTTTTTGGACGGTGGGAGGAAGCCGGAGAACCCGGAGAGAACCCACAGACACAGGAGAACATGCAGACTCCACCCAGAAAGGTCCTGGTTCCCCCGGGACTCCAACCCAGAACCCTCTGGTCCTGGTTCCCCCGGGGACTCGGACTCAGAACCTTCCTGTTGCTCCCTGGTGAAATCGAGTCGTGTTTATGTCCGCCTGCTCTCCGGACGGCCTGTTCTTGGATGCCTCCTTTTAACTCTTCCCATCTTATGCACTTCATGATTTCCAATTAAATTTCCGGGCCTCTTCGCAGGTGCGCGATCTCTAAAAAAAAAGGGCCGCGGCAATCGACTTTGTCACCTTCCCTAATAGCTCCTGTCCACCTCAAAACCCGCTTTCATGCCTGGGAGTGCCTTCAGATGGTCAGCGTTCGTCCACTCACTGCTGGGGCCGGTTTCTGGTAATTGCTTGTATTAAGTTCTTCTTCTCTTCATCAGTGTTCGTCTGGTAATTGGCTCGGAGCCTCAGGGCAGAATTAGCCGAGCTTATCAGATGTCACTGTGACAGCGTTCTGTTAATACGGACGATTTCCCGGCTCCGCAAGTAATTATATTCCTTTTCCCTTTAGCAGAGAAAAGAGGGAAGGCAGGGAAAAAAGCTCCAGGTCCAGAGGCAGGTGGAGTGTGGAAGCAGACATTTTGGATGTCTCTTTTTGCAAAAATGCTGGTCAGAATGAGTCCCGAGCTCCAGATTTCCATGTTAAAATACATCCGACCGGAGCTCAGAGTAGCAGGATGTATATCCTGAATCTGTAGGAGCTCAACTGTTCCCGTCCTTTGACCTTTGACCCCAGGAAAAGAAAACCGGCAAAGATAAATGTGCGCGTCTTTTTCTGAAAACTTTAGATCTCCACTTATCACCTGTTTGGCATTTTTCTTTGATCATTTGGCAAGAAATGCAAACAAATTCATGTAAATGTCACCACATAAGACGGACTAAAGGTCAGTAGCAGCAATAGTAATGGACAAAAACCTCTACATTAGGATTCCTGCTACTTTTATGACTTTTCAAGAATTTTTTAAGGACATTTAAGGACACACCAATAAAAAAAAATAAAAAAAATAAATGAATAAAAATAAAAACAATTAAATGAAATACAAATTTTACTAAAATAATTAAAAAAATTAAACTAAAATAAATTTTAAAAATGTAAAAAAATTTAAAAGATAAATTAAACTAAAATTAAAAAAATAAATTAAACTCAAATTTGAAAAATAAAATTAAAAAAAGGACACACCAGACTCTGGACTTCTATTTCAGCGCTTACAGTGAACAGAACAAAATCTCATCATGAAGATGTTTGATGAGTTCACAGCCTCGGATCAGAATCAGAATCATGAATACTTTAATAATCCCAGAGATGCTGCTTCCTTTTTCCCGTCGTTGGTAAGACGTGGTGTGACAGATATCCGCACACACAAACAATCCCGCCATCACAAAACCTCCTTTAAATGACCGTTAATGACTACATTAAGGATATATCGCGGGGGGATAATTGCAAATCCCGGTCAGTGGGTGGAAGCTGTGGAAGCT